GATACCGATCGACGATTTTACAATCGATACACGCGGTATAACAACGGCACCGGTTCGCGATCGCGACGGCGCGGCGCGGCGCGACGCGGCGCGAACGTGCCTCGCGGCGAGAGAGTTCGCCCTTGTTCTCGCGTGCTCCCGCGAAATTCTACTCGCGTATTCGTTGTGCTCGAAATTGCGTCGCTCGCGGGTCGTCGCGCACCTCTCGTCCCGTCCCCTCGCGTGCGTCCCGCGGATCGCGTGTGTGTATCACAATATCGTTTTCGTTCCTCTCGCTGCGCGCGCTTTTGCTCCCTCCGCGGGCGCGCAAGATCTACCGGTCGCGCGAAATGATTGTCGGCAATGATCGATAATCAGCGGAACCGCTCTGCCGGCGATTCTTCGCGCCGATTCTCGCTCGATTTGATTTGATTTGCTCGCTTCCTCTCGCGCCGGTGGATCGCCCTCGCTGTGCGATTGTTCCGTTTCTGTTTCTCAGGAGGGGAGGGGGGTCGTCCTGGTCGATCCTGGAGCGTGCGACGATCTCGATCGGCGCGCGCGACCGAGTCGAATCGCCGACGATCCAGCAACGCGTCCAAGCGGAGTTTCCTTTTTCGCGTCGCTCTCGTGTTCTCTTAAGTGACTCGTCGTGGATGTGCGTTCGTGTGTACACTGTCTATGTGTGTGTGTGTGTGTGTGTGTGTGTGTGTGTGTGTGTGTGTGTGTATGTGTGTGTGCTCAGCCGATGACACCTTTCGCTCGTGTACCAACTAGACAGCTACGACGTACTCTCTCTCTCTCTCTCTCTCTCTCTCTCTCTCTTTCGAGTCCCACGCCACGTGAGTTTTTTTCTCGCTTATGTACATATTTTTATTTGAGTATTCGGAACACTTCAATGTTATTCATTATTATATTTCTTCCTGATCGCGCGTTGCTTGAACGATTTTATATTACTCTGTCATTCCGTACAGCTTCGTTAAACGAGAACAGGGAGGATAGGAGGGAAAGCGGACTTAACAATGGGGATTTTCGATGACGTTTCGAAACCTTCGACTACCGTAACGACGCGAATTCTTGTCTCGCGCTGCTCGCTAGTTATTTTGCTAATTGCGCTAATTTTTACGTACACGTCGGGCCGCGGTTGATTAGCCGATTTTAAGGCAAAGGGAACGACTCGAATTAAGCAAGAAAAAGAGGAGACGGAGAAATTGAAGCAGGCGTTGTTGTCGTTATCAATTGCATATAATAATAATCATCATCATGGTCGTTATCAATTGCACATAATAATAATAATAATAATAATCATGGCGCGTGCGTGTCGAGGCTGGCAGAGAAATAGAATTCCTCGAGAAACGAAAAGCCGCCTAAAGAAACAAAGTAACGAGAATTAGTTTCTTCATTAAATATTACAAAGGCCTTTGTGAATTTTATATTTTCTATCTATTATTTTTACCCACGCGGACCTGTCGAGACCTTGAACATTCATCTCTATCTTACGCATGTTGTCGTCTCAATAACTCCCTCCCCCTCCCGAGATTAACGCGTCGATATTCAAGCGCGCGGAAGGAGGTTCTGCCTCGAATTGACGCGATTTGCGAAACCGGCACGAGAGCAAAAACGCAAAACTGATTCGCGATTGATGGAGTAAGTGGCGTAGAGAATCAACGGTACCGGCAATACCGCGAAATTTGCCCCAGTCCGAATGAAACACCGATCCGCAAATTCCACGTGACCGCGCGTTAACGAGCGGATCCGCGAGTCGCTACGGTAATTAGCCGCGCGCGCGCGCGCGACATGGAAGAAAAAAGATTACCGACTCGCCTGACGCGTTTACGTTAATGAGTACTCGAGAGGATTGCCGGCGCCGGTTTTGAGAATTAATTGTTTGATTAAACTCGGTGTCGTGCGCGCTACTTTTTCTTGTACCGCCAATATCAATGCGGCTCGCGGATTGCTCTCTCTCTCTCTCTCTCTCTCTCTCTTTCTCTCTCTCTCTCTCCCTCTCTCTCTCTCTCTCTCTCTCTCGTAAACGCGATAGACACCGCAGGAGATGACTCGAGCTATCTTTCTCGACTTTTCTGACCCGCGTGTGTCTGTGTGAGCAATTTGTCAGATGTAACAATCCCGGCGAGAGGAAATGTAAACGTGGAGGAAAAAATTAGCGTCGCTCCTCCGAGCGAGCAATTTCGCCGACATACTCGGGGGCGATTAAACAAAACAACACGGGCGCGCGACCTAAGCATTGTCGAGCGAACAAACGGCTTTACATCGCGGTTCCGTTAAAGAGAACGCTCGGGAGTCTTGTGTTTGAGATCTGAGCGAGGCACTTTGCGTAAAGATAGAACTCTGTGCGGCAGTTCGCATCCGGTGTACACAATCGTTGTCGCGTCGAGAGCCACTTGACGAGCGGAAGTTTCGAAGATTTGATCGGCAGAGAATCTCTAACTCCTCTCTCTCTCTCTCTCTCTCTCTCTCTCTCTCTCTCTCTCTCTCTCTCTCTCTCTCTCTCTCTCTCTCTCTCTCTCTCTCTCTCCGTCCCAAACCCGCCCTCCCCCCTCCCCGCTTCCTCTCTCGCGCGAAACTTGTCGTGGACCGAATTGTCAGATCCGGCGGAATATCGTGTCCCACGTCAAGTCGTGTTTTCTTCGCGTCTAATACCGATGTCGCGCGACGCGGCGCGTCGAGAAACTCCGTGTCGGATTCCCAGCAGCTTGTGGGGGAGGGGGCGCTTTCGCGTGTCCGCGAGATTGATTAATTGCCAGCTAACTGACACATGTATCTTCCATTTATTCCGTCTTTACTCCGACGACGAGTCGTATGCGCGGCAGCTGATCCTCCGGCCCGGGGAATGAAGGAAGACCAAACGGAGAAATGCAGAGGAAGAAAGAAGAGGCGGCGTTAAGGCGCGATCGCGCGACTCTCGCTCTCGTAGGGCCGCTCGTAGGGGTCGTCACGGTCGTCGAAGGTCCTCGACAACGTCAAGGTCGAGCAACGAAACTACGCGATCCACCGAGACAAAATCGTCGTCGCGGTAGGCAATTGGTCGATCGCTCTCGCGCAGCGCTCGATCACGATCCACGACGGATTCACCGAGGTCCTCGAGGACTCGAGTACGCGTGAGAGATACTCTGTACGGAAAGCAGGGGTGGTCCAACTTGGCAGTTTTATCCGCGATTCGTTCGCCTTCTCGTGTCGCGCGTTCTCACCTTCGTCATTTTTTCTCGCGCTCGCACTCTCGCTCGCTCGCTCGTCATTTTCGCTGCATGCAGTACTTGGTGCGGCTCGTACGATCCGGCCGGCCGGCCGGCCGGCCGGTAGGTCGGTCGGTCGGTCGGTCGGTCGATCGATCGGTCGATCGACCCTCTGCCACCGATCGGCTGAATAAGCGACGCGGTTGTAATCGACAATCTCTCTCTTTCCCCCTCATCTTTTTTCTCCCCCTCTCTTATGCGCCTGTATATATTCGCTTGCGCGACCACGTGTTATGGCATTCGACGCGCGGTGTACGTGTATATACGAGTACGTACGTGTGTGCAACATACGTTATAACACGTGGAAGTGCGTGCGAAGATATCCGTCGGGTCCAGGGCGAGAGTGTGTGCGCTGGGACAAGGGTCGCCCTCACCTACGCGGTAATGTCGGCTTTACGAGATAGGAGGAGTTCCCTCCCTTTCTTTCCTTCTAAACGGATGAGTACGTGGAAAAATATATCGAGCGAGGAGGGTCGATCGCGCGCGATCGTCGACGACGGTGCTGCTTGTCCGCGGTGTTGGACCGCGCGCGCGGACGAACTCGCGCAGTCCGTCCCGGTTCGATCGAGACGACGACGGTGACACGCGCTCGCGTCACCTCCGCGTCTCGAGTCGCGAAGCGAAGAGAGAGAGGAGCCCCCCTCGGGCTCCCTCGGGTCCATTTGGTCGCGGCGCCGCGTGCGCGCGGTTTATTATCCACCCTGTCGATCGTCCAGGCCGCACTAGACTTTTCCACAGTTTTTTTCTTTTTTTTATTTTTCCCCTTTTTCCTCTTTTTCTGTTTTTTTTTTGTTGAGAGAAGGTTGAACACCCCTGACTCGAGTTTCTATTTTGGCAGTTATTTTAAAGTCCGTCTCGGCTCCCCACGAGAGATCCTCAACAGATCGCGGCGGATTAATTACGACTCGGTCGTAACGCGCGTGCCCGCGCTCGCTCGCGCGCGCCAGTGCGCAAAGCGACTAACAATAGTAGTTTTATCGTTAATTATTATTCTTATTATCGATAAGAAATATTATCGTTATTGTTACTATTATCGAAAGGCCGCAACAACGCTCTTCCGAGGACTGCGCGATCTCGTTTCCCGTGACGCCGTCGGACCCGTCGCCGCGTTCATCGTCGCCAATCCGCGAGGTCCCATCGATCGTCGAGACGTGATCGATCGACCGTCGATCGCCCCGATCGCCGCGTGCACTAAGTCGAACGAACGAACGAACGAACGGACGAACGGATTTCTCGCCGAGGGCGATGATCGCCCTTCGTCGTTCGCGCGACATGAACGGGACGACCACTGAGTCGATCCTGAGGATCGATCGATCGATCGATCAGAGCTCGCGGACACGCGACGGACTCTCTCGGCAGCGCGTCCTCGCACCCACACCTACCTTCGTCTACGATCTAGAGGCAGATGCACCCTCTAAATCTCCGTCCAGCTCGCGCGTCGCGCGTCGACCTACCGATCCGGTTACCGCACTAGAAACGTAATTCAGTCACTTTAACGAAAGAACGCAGCCGCAACGGAGCGTGACGTCGGCGATCGGATCTTCTTGTTCCCTCCCCTTCCCTTTCGTTCCCTCCGTCTCGAATGTGGGGAAGCGTGTTCTCCGTGGGCGTTTTTGCTTCTCTCCCCGAAAAGACGAGGCGCGCGCTCGCCGCCGCTGCTCTGTCGCCGTCGCCGCCGTCGCCGCCGTCGCCGTCGCCGTCGCCGCCGCCGCCGCCGTCGCCGCCGTCGCCGCCGCCGCCGCCGCCGCCGCCGCCGCCGCCGCCGCCGTCGCCGCCGCCGCCGCCGCCGCCGCCGCCGGAAGTTCATCCTCCCCGTCGGTCCTCCCATTCGTGAATGTCATCTCGCTCTCTTCCTCGCCCAGTGTCTTAATTGCCTAACTGAAAAGCAGCACGTCGCGAAAGAAGCCGGGGCCGCGCGACCCGGCGGCGCTTCCCGGCGAGTAATCCGAGAACTCGAGAACGCGCCCCCGCCCCCGTCTCCCGGGGCGCTGGTCGCACGCGAAAGGGCGCACGCGAAAGAGGGCTAAACGAGTCCGTCTGTCTTTTCGCGCTTTCCCGTCACTTGGACGCGCTCCGTAGCCGCCTCCTCGAATCGCGTCGGACGTCGTTCCTGCGAAGAAGAGGGAAGCAAGCGCGAGTATAACGCGGCATGTCTCACTGCTGATCGCGGGAGCTCGCGTATTCGGGGACTTGGATTCACCAGGCTCACGAGTCGATGGTCGAATCGATATCTCGGATCGTTGCCCAACTTGACAACGACCAAGTCCCTTCTTGGTACTGACGCCGCATTGACGCTCAGATTCGCCTGACGCTTCGTCGATATATCGCGCGCATAGTCCATGTCTGGATGTCGATTTCGCGTCCAAAATATATCATATTGTGCTGTCGACGGATTATTGATGATCCACAGTTGGCATTTATTCGGCATCATATTCAATATACGAATATATCGGTCCGGCTCGAGTATGATACACGCCGAATATATAACGGCTGGATCTCGTCGACATGTAAACAATATATTCCAGATATCGCGATGACACCTTGGAGATATGAAATCTCGATCTCGTTGATTTCCAGCGCGATCTCCAGCAGATTCTTTATCGACTCGTGAGCCTGGATCTCGCTGAACGCACCGGCTACCATTTATCGCTCCCCTCCCGCCCCTCCCCTCCGCCGCCCCTCGTACTTAGCCCCTGAATCTTCCGAGTGGAATCTTTCATTTCGGATTTTCCCTTCGTTCTAGATACTTCATTCGCGTTTTTTCGTATTATCGACAAATTGAAAGCTTGGAAATTTCGTGTTCGTGTATAGCCTGTTATTCCAATAAATATTCAAATTACATTAATTTGTGGTTCTTGCCAGGGCGGGACGTGTAAGTCGCGAAGAGTTGCGAAAATTAATTAAATATCGGCTGATTCGGGCACGAGGCTCGCTGTGCTGCGCGCGCGCGTACGAGTTTTCTCCCGGGATTGTTACGAACGCGCGACATAAACATTTGCCCGCTAATCCCGTTTAATTTGTAACTATCGCGCAGCACCAAGTCAATTTTCGATAATGAACGAGTGTCTGAGTACTTGAAATCGAGTAATCGGACGATCGGCGCGTCCGGGGTTGACACATGAATAATGAACGCGCGTGCGTAGGCGACCGGCAATTAGCGCGACGGGAGAGAGATTGCAGCAGAAACAGAGACGGACGCGCGATTGGAAATTTTACACGCGGCGGCCAACGAGCCAAGCTTGTTAACATTTCCACGCGGTATTAACTTCGTTATGGTCATCCGGCCTGCATCGTTCTCACATGATGATGATCACGGGGCGCGGGTTGCGAGTCTACGCGCCGATTTCGGATCGCGCATATGCGCGCACGGCTAAGCGAGTCTCTCTGACGAGCGGAAACGACGCGCTGTCGATGTCCGCGCGATCGGACGTAATAATTGCAGGGCGGAGTTGCAACGATGAAGGACGGCGGCTCGTCCGCGCCGAATACTCACCGAATTCCAGGAGGCGCTATTCCTAGCATCTTTTGTGCAATTTTTCGGTGTCTCGACCGGGGCAGTCTATTACTGGACGATTATGTGTGGCGCACGAAGTAGTATCACCACCGTAGCCAAAACCGTGAATATCGTGAAGACGAACAGGCAAACCCTTGATTTCACAGAGGGGAGAAAAATACGAGCGTTAGTTGCACGAGTTCGGGCCTCCTCGGCGAGGAGAAATTAAGTGGTACAAGTAGAGATTCGGTTCGTCCGCGTGTGGGTGGTCGCTAAGACACATCGGAGTCAGAGACAAAGGCGTGTCCGAGTGAGACCGTAGACTTACATACGTAGATTAAAGGGGGAATTATATGCGGAGCAGATCGTTCTCGAGGCTATTTTTACTTTTTCTTATAGAATTTTTCTAATAGAATTTTTTTTAATAGAAACGGTAGAATCAATGGGCTTGAAATTTCCACAGCGTATTCATTAGTGTTCAAAATAAATTTGTTACTATCTGTATGGAAGATACACACAAAACTTTAAACGCGTTTATCTGAAAACACCATTTACCTAAACTGTCGACATGCAAAAACTACTGAACCGAATAACTTGAAATTTTTACACATTATACAGTAGACGTGTGATTTCCGCTCCTACCTCGAACACAGTTATATTTTATTTTAATCATTTTTTTAAACATGATTACAAGTTGAGAAAATCTCATTTTCGATACTTTTTTTTTGTACAGTCATTATATTTCCAAACTTGGCTTCACTGCCTTCATTTTGGTACGGGCTATAATGGCAACTGTGTATTTTAAAAATCTTTCTTAGTTTTTGGTTTCAGAATAGTGAAAGAGAGAGAGAGAGAGAAAGAGAGAGAGAGAGAGAGAGACTCGGGATTATGTCGACGGCAAACATAAAGCTCGCAAACGAATGACTACATTTTTATCTATAATTACAAATTGTATCGGTCTTTGTGATTCAATAAAATTTATTTTATACTTTGAACATTAATGAATACACCGTGAAAATTTCAAGTCTATAAATTTTACCGTTTCGTTAAAAAAATTAATAAAAATAGCCTTGAAAACGGCTTTCCGCAGGTAATTTCTCCCTTAAACGCTTTCGATCTTTGTCTAGCTCGATTCCTATTGGAGAAAGCTAAACGAAGATAGCATGCCTGTAGACTGTGAAAAGGAAACACACCTCCCTCCTACCCTCTTGTTTTACGACTAGTATCAGGTGAATTGACCGGTGAAACTTTCAGTTGACTAAAATAATCGGCGAATCAACGACCAATCGTTATTGGTACGTAATTACGAGTAATTTAATCGATTAATGAAATTTTCGTCACACGCCGATCGTTAATCGGCGTGTGACGAATCAAGTCAGAGTAATCGATTGAATCAATCGTCATATATGCAGTCACGATTTGCGACGATAATTATATAATTTTAGTTTATTTATTTTTTAATTTTTAATTATATTATTTTAGTTTACTTATTTTAGTCAATTAGAATCTTTTAATCGTTTAATGCCCAACATTGCTTCGAACTTTCCATAAGAGGGCGCAGTCTGTATATGCAAATCTATGGCGGAGACCCTCGAGATCGCTGAGTACGTTAACCTCGTTAACCTCGAGTCACCGAAATTACTCGGGATTTAAATGGGTCCCTCGTAATCGATCTCGCGGAACGGCTAAATGTCACACGATTAAAACTGATCGATACGCAAATTTCAAGCATATATAGTTAGCATTACCGACCGCCGAATAAATAAATGCTAAACAGGGCCGAGTTACACGATGCACATATTCATCTAGAATTAATTCTCATTGCGAGCGAATGCATTATGCAGCCCGTTTGCGACTTATTTATTTAGCGCTATATACCGAGCCGGGCGCATAAATGCCGGATGAGTTTTTCCTCGCGCGAAAAAGAGCTCCGGGTCTCGCTGCGAGGGACTCGCTATTTCTTTGTCTCTGATTTTCGCTCGCTCGCTCGCTCGCTTGCGCTTGCGCCGCGAGTTCCTCCGCTTGAAACCACATGAAAGATTTAAAACATCCAACCTGTCGACCACCATGGCGGCGAATTTCCAGTCGCTAATGACCTCGTCGTCCTCGTCCGCCTTTTTCATGCGGCTCGTGATGAACTGCAATTCCTTGAGAATCGTGTGAAGTTCCTTCTGCATGCCGCTGAGAGGTAACGACGCCGAAGTCTCTTCGACCGTCGCCGGTCTGGTCGACAACGGTGTACCGTACGCCGACCTGCTGCAAGAGGTCGTGTAAAATATTACTCTCCAAGGTGTCTCGCATTCCCTCCTTCGGTCTCCCCCCCCCCCCTCTTTCTCTCTCTCTCTCTCTCTCTCTCTCTCAAGACCGGCAAGGCGCCGATAGAAATTTTCACTGATCGCCGAAGAACTCGGGAAATTCCTCCACCTCGGAGTATCGCGTAATGGCCGTTTAAATTATTGAAATAGCTCGGAGTTTTGCGCTCCCCCCCGATATTGAGCGAGTACGAATTACCTCCCGCGCCGTACGTTTTGTGCTTTATCGGTGGATTTATAATACATCAGGCTCGGTGTCAGTAATTATTTCCTTCTTCGATACAACAGCTATTCACTTCGTGTATTCATATCCTTGTTAGAGTTGTCGCGCTACGCTTATTAACTGTATGAATTTCTCTCTCTCGAGGAGGAGATTTGAATTCAGAAAATGTGTGATGCCCCGAAACTACCTTTGCGATACCTTCATCATCATTAAGGGATCAAAATTGGAATTAGATATTATTGAAAATTAATTACGCGAAATAGGGGATGATGAGACGGACATTTTTCGTCATATGGATTTGGGGTGAAAAAGCGAAAATGGCGGGAGCTACGGCCCTCCAGATCTCTCCGTCATATTGTTGCTAATTAGAAAAATTGTTTTCTTTTCTGTTGCAGATGTGGCAGAGCCTGTGGTCCGCAGCTTCCGGCGGATGCAGATGCAGCAGCACCGGAGGATCCGGTTCAGGCCGAGCGGGGTCGGCTCGAAGGTGGGTGGGTTCATGTGGTCGCTATACTGCTCTGTTTAAGCGTTTTGCGGTCGAAGGCCGAGATAGAGCCGTCGGAACGACTTGAATTACGACCGCGAACGGTTAATCCATTTGTGCATCTCCGCGCGCACTCGTTCGTTACGTCCGTGAAGCACAAGTCCGTAAATCCAATCGGCGAAATTATATTTTCTGTTTTAGATCCAGACTAGCGGAACGTGGCCGGCTCCGAACTCCAGGTGTTCGGTGAGTAAGCAACACGGCAGACCAACATTTTTCGGCTGCTGGCTGGTTCATAAATGTCTGTGGAAATGTTCGTTGGAATCGATGCGATTTACTTTGCCGGTAGATTTTTGCATGCGTGTGTGTGTATGTCCTGTTGCGAACGAGACACATTGCTCGAAACAATTAAAGCTTCGCTCCTCTAAACACGTAAACACTCACTCGCACCCGCAGTAGGCGTATTTCAAATATCGCGAGTATGCTTATTTTAATATCTCATATTTATCTATTGATTTAATAAACTATCTTTACTTCTGTGTATTTGCATTCAATTGTCCCGAGAGACAGACAGAAGAGATGATTTCCGTAAAACAGAATTAATAAAATATATTACAATCTTTTCTAACGGATTCGAACTCGCGCGCGAGAGAGATATATCTTGCTTGATTGTATTCCTGAATCTGATTCAAATTATATAACAAATTATATATTATATATAATTATATAATTATGTAATATGAGTATTCGCGATCGCCACTCATGCGATCCTCTAATCGTTTCGAGCGGTGTACAATGCGCATTAAAACTGTGCCCCCCCCCCAGCCCCTCCACTCATGTGCAGAACTCGTGAATATTTCGTTCGCTTTGTTAGATACCGCAATCGCGTGAACGTTGGTTTTTTAAATCTGTCGCGCGCGCGCGCGCGCGCATTTGCGATTACGTTCGTGGCAGACACGCACTTCGTTAAATGATTAAATGAAATTCGACAGAAGATATCGCGAAACAAAATCGCTATGACGATTTCGCGTACACAACGATTGCTTCCCCCGCGGCTCACAATCATCTCGCGCTCGCGATTTTCAGCTTGCAACTTTTCTCCTTTACGCTCACGTCGCGAGTTTCTCGTCACGTCAGATTCGCGGAAGCGAATAGCGAGGGTAAGATCGTCGCGGAATATAATTTCCGCGTGTATACCGCAGATTCGTTATTGATTCGTGAGATTTTACGTTACTCGCGATTATTTCTTTCGCGTGCTAGCCGTCGCGTTAAATCGCCGGGTATCATCCAGTTTTCCACTCTCTCCTTCCCCCATTTGCGTTGCGATTGCGTTTCGCAACAGTTGCGCGCACCTCGCCGAATTGAATTCGGCGGAAAATATCGCGGAGGTGAATTCCGCATTATCATAAGACAACCATTGTTACGACGATCTCGTGCATCTAATTGTCTTTTGCGCGGACTCGCCTAGCGATCGCGATTTTCAGTTTCTGTTTTTCTTTTTTTTCGTACTTGCGTCTACGTCGCAACAATCATTCTTCGCGCGAACGGATCGTGAATTCGCGGGAATGTTTCGAGATGAAAAGTACGGAAAATCTTCGCGTGAGTGCTGCAAAGTCGCGCCGCTCGCGATTATCTCGCGTTAACAGACTTTCACGCCCGGCGAATCGAAGTGATTCTTCAAGTCACCGATTTCGTTCCGAGAGCGGTACGAGCTTTTTTATTGATGCCGCCGTTGTTGATACGTCGTCGAAATATGAATATTAATCGCGTCGCGAGTACAAGCAACGTGGGACGACGCAGGACGAAGGCTGAGGTTTCAGACGCGACGCAGGATGCGGAGACACGATGTTTCATCGGTGAGCGTCAATGAATTTCCGCGCCAAGTGGTGAGTGCTGAATTACACAAACTCTGGCACAGAGTTATCGTATGATATCATAATGCATGCTGTAAATCGCACTTCCAACGAACAGTAGACAATTATTCAGTACTTGAGACTGCGCGAGCACATTCTGAACATCGCTCTTGAAAATATGTCGATATTTTAAGGATTTGTCGAACACTTGAAGGACGTTGAGAGTACACTCAGTTGAAATAACGTAGCTACGAACGAACCGGGCGGGGGGGTGGGGGGTGGGGACACGTTTCGGGGATAAAGAAAACGGGATTTCTGGCTCTCGGGACTGAATTTGTTTCGCAAGAGCCGTTTTCTCCAATGAAATCGCGTTTGGTTCGTTCGTTATCGCGTTGATTCACGCAGCCTTTCTCCGCCGCGTATGCATTCGAATAATTTGCAAATACTGAATACTGAATGCTGAATACAAAAGTATGATGTTTCAGCGGAGATTGAAAATTTCCGCTCTGATCAGAATACGTGATTGAAGTATCGCGCGGTAATTTCAAGGGGGCAATATATAATACATAAACAAATAGCTTCTGCCCCTCAATAATACGCTCGCCCGCTATGAATCTTCGAGGCAAGATCGAACGAACAGCACTGAACATCCCTTCTCAATAATTCGAGCGGAACTCGAGCGTGTCGGAATTCCCCGCGCGTGCCCGCGCGAATCGCCACGCGATATGCCACGGATCTTCCACGGTTTCCATTATCGAGGCTCGCGCGGCTACGTGACAGATGGGGAAGAAAACGGATTGCTCGGCAAAAATCACCCGCGGGCCGACCCAGAAGCGATTATCGAAAGGGGCGAATGAAAAACCGCCCGGGCGGGATTATTTTGTTAACCGTTCGCGAATACCGACGGAGGCACGGAAAATAAAAAAGGAAGAAAAAAGTAAAAAAAAGAAGAAATAATAAAAACGCGCAAGAGCGCCTGAGCCTGGAAATCCAGTTCCAACAGAGATTGAGTCGGCGATCGGTATTCATCGGCGGTCGTAAAATCTCGATGTTCGATTCGACTGGCGCGAATACAACAGCGTTTCGCGGCCGCCGTTTGCGAGCGACACCCGGCAGATTCCGCGCGAATACATCCGCTCGCTCGTGGTTATCGCAGAGCAAACACTACGTGTACGGTCTTGTCACAGTCTCGGTAATCCGTCTGCATCGCCGTGTCTTCGATCTTTTTTCCGCGCGGTGCACGCTCGGCTGCGTGTAAAACAGCGCGCGGGACTTTGAATTACGCAAACGGGCGCGTTTACTCGGAAATACACGTGTACCGCGCACGCATTGCTGGTTCCCGTTCGTTGGTTCCCCGTCCCGATAGATTATTATATGTTTTCGACGTTGTCGCAATCGGAGCTGTTGTTCCGCTTTTTGTTCTCGCGATGGGATTAAAACGTGATGCGATTCCCGCGTTCGCCGCGCTATGTTGCGCGCGCGTGCGCGAGGAAGAGGGACAAAAACACAAAATGGGGCAGCTTTGTTAGAGAAAATTGCCGCGTGCGGCGAGCAAATCAACGTTAAGTCTCTCTTACACCGCGGGATTTCCGTCGGGTGTGCGGCCGGTGAATTGAGCTGGCGAGCTCGACGGTACCTTATGTTATAGCCCGAGGCGGGATTGGCGGCGCTGTTCCCATGGCGAAAATCATCGTCGATGTCTAAAACGTTCGCCAGTAAACTCTTACTGCTCCTCTCCTGCAGCTCCAGCTCCTTCATCCGATTACTCATGAGAATGGTCTTCTTCGTGATCTTCTTGCCCGGCCGACTCATGCGCAACAAGCATGGCAGCCATTGCAGGAACACGACTTTGACCTGTGCGTGAAATATCGGATGTGATCGTCCCTTTAAACCTGCTGAACGCATCGCGCGCGCGAGCGCGCGCGACTCCCCCTTCTCGTAAATTTTCCCCATTCCATTTCCGCGACTCTAGTTTTCGGAATCTCGCGGGGGGCGATGCGAAATCGTGCGGAGGGCAGAATTCAAGATCGGTGGTTGGAGTTAGGGACGATTTCGCTCGAGCTACGAGCAGATGAGCGGAAAGTAATGAGAGCGTGGACGAGTGCTTTCGGAGAGCCGCCTCTCGTCCAACTGAAAATTCGACGCGACTTCGGTGCTTGCGTATACGCGACGCGCAAGTATAAACTGCAGATGTTTCGCAGCGTGGAGAAACACACTTGCCCGAGTACATTTTTGGTTTGTTGACGGAACTCGCGCTAACCGACGAGTCGCGAAAGCTAGCACCAACACCTCGGAGGCATTTTAAACTTTCAAGGAGTGCAGCGTGTGTCTTTGACGCTCGTAATGGTAAACGCCAGTGGGGAAACTTAGCATGCAAAATATATCGCCGACTGTTACGCGGAGTGTCCTTTAGAAAATCGTTTCGTATTACTTCGAGTCTGCAAATTGTTCGCTCCCTTCGCTCCTCCCGCGACGCTAAACACTCCTTTTTAATCGTGCGCTCGCGGAGCGCATGAAACATACTCGATATCTCGCGATTCCCTTGCTACCGCGATACCTGATTACAATTATCATCCATCCAGGTAACAACAACAATGTTCGAAATTAGATCTGAAATACTCACGATCGCATTTTATTATCGTGATTATTACAAATTATGTTGCGTTACTTCAGAATCGCGTTGCTCGCTCAATTACGAGGCACGAAAAGTAATTAAATTTATAACGATATCGGTATAATGTAACAGGGACGAAAGCAAGTGCAATCCGGGCTAATCCGTTTAGTTAAGCGGCTTATTCCTCTGTGTATCTAAAATGATTAACCTTTATTCGACTGAACCGTGTTTTACCGTGGTTCACCAGGCCGCCCGGACAAATGGAAATATTCCGCTGCAAATTAAAAATATTCGAGGACGCGTATCCTTGAAAATTAAGTTTCGCGGGAAATTCTGTATAATGAGCCCGCAAGAACGGCGTTGATAAAAAAATTGAGACGTGCAAGGGAGGACACGCACACGCATAATGTTGCGAATAAAACATGAGCAATTTGTACAGTCGTAATAATTATCATATTTATTAATGCCATTAGCATTTCCATTCACGTATTTAATGTTTATGGAGTTATTAGCATTATTTGTATTCACGATTACTTCGGTTGCAAATTGCTCGTGTTCATTTTAACATTGCGTCATCAATATAAAGGCGGATTTATTTCTGCAAGCGCACATATTTCGTTTAATACAAATATATATATATACATATATATATATATATATAATTGTATTAAGGCTCCTGTTTTCCTGTCGCGGCCATCTTGAATTATAACGTCAGGGCATATATTTTGAAAATTCTTGCGAAAAATTCACGTCGAGACGATTATATATATATATATATATATATACATATATATGTCCACAAAATAACCAACCGAGTCGATCGAGCAGATTTTTCAAATAATCCGGGCACTTTTCTTCGTTCGAACTAATCGGTGAACAGCTGTAAAATTAACGTAACAGGATCACGAGGAAGGATATATTAAAAAGGTAGACCGTATGTCACGTTAATTTGACAGCGAAGTTAATTTTAAGGGGCCTTAATCGTGGTTTCAACTGCGATAATAGTATATGAGAGAGTTTGTGTATTCCTTACCCAATTTGGCATCACGTATCTGTCGGGCGATCTGTGATGATAGTTGAGCACTAGAACGGTCAACACGACGCTGCTCGCCACCATGAACATGATGCAATTGAAGTATGATCCTAAATCGAGGTATTCCCGAAAATCCCCCGGAGAAAAAATACAAAAAGAAGGCGATTAGTCACGGAAATGGCGCGAGGTTGGCGTTGTCATACGCCGCTCTTTCTCTCCCTCTCTCTCTCTCCCTCTCTCTCTCTCTCTCTCTCTCTCTCTCTCTCTCTCTCTCTCTCTCTCGCTCGTTCGAGTCGGGAGGAATGAAAGATTATTCTCTCTCGAATTCTCTCTTGGCTCGCTTCGGATCGTAATCGCGCCTCCGTCGCGGATTTTGATCCCCGCGCTTCATTCCGTTATTTTTCTTCCTTTCCCAGCCTTTTTCAATTCAGCCTTAATAATCTTTCATTCGCTTGCACGACCGTTTGCGCGCTTCCGGCATGAGTGCACGCGCGTGCACGAGGAGGTTCAAGAATTCGGACACCGGGAGAATATTTATATTCTCTAATGCTCTCCCGTCGCTAAGCGTGAATTACGATGCGCCGGGAAGTGATGCAACTTTTAAAATGCACTTCTCACGATCCTTCATCGTGACGTTAGATTTCTCCGGCAACACTGCACTCTCGAATCTACCTCCGCAATCATCTCGCGTCTCCATTAAGTTTCCTTCTCTTAGACCCTTTTCTACTTTCAACTGCCGTGTAACTCGCATCTCTCTCTCTCTCTCTCTCTCTCTCTCTCTCGTGCATTAGCGTCGACTTTATTTCCTTCGGCTCTCTTGTCGGAGTGGGAGCCGCCATCGATCTATTTTTGGCAAACAACGCGGCCAGTAGTATACACGTAGCATTCTCCCGACGTGGCGAGAATTCGAGCCTCCTCGCGCGAATAAAAACGTACACACCCATCCACTCACATGTACACGTACACATATATACACACACACGCAGACCCACACGCATATGCGCATACACATACTACACACCCACACGACCACACCCACACATATACACGTACGCATACACACTCATTCTCTCTCTAAGATGACATACTCGCAGTCACACACACTGCGGCGGCTCGGTGCCGCCCGGATGGACCTGTCACGGGATCGACTCTCGCAACTCACACTGGAGGCGAAAGTTGAGAAAGAAACAATATAGAGACAAGCCAGGCAAGCAGGACTTGTTGTCCAGTAGTTTTAGCCGGAGCAAATAATACAACTAAGAGAAGAAGCACACGCATGCATGAGAAAGAGTAATAACGTGCGGCATACATTCTCAGCAACAGAGAAAAGAATGTCTGAAAGCCATTCGAGAAATATCGGAGAAAGACATCTCGCGGATATGTACCTTGCGCGTTTAGCGTGTATTTCCGTGTGTGTTGCTTGGCCGAGCGGTGGAAGTGTGTGTCGCAGGAATATCGCGCCCGCGGGGATATTTAAACGTACCTGCGAGTTAAGCTTCTTCTACTTTAGTCTCTAACAGTACTTTTATCTCTAACGGTCTGTAGCACTCTCGTCGTTTCAACAACGACGCAAGGGCAGATCGGTGCGAGTGAAGTGTCTATTGGTGACGGCAGTGCCGAGAGCTTGGTGTGTCGCGTGTTTCGCGGAAATAATGGAAGCAACTTGCGTCTTCCGGGTGTAGACAGGCAAAGGTGCGAAAAGTGAAAGAATACGGCGTACTTACTCTGGGCATCAAGTGTGCGCGCGCGTGTGTGTGTATGTGTATCCGGATAGACGCGTACGGGAGACAAAAGAGAAAGATAGAGAGAGATGGAGAAAGCGAGAGAGAGAGAGAGAGAGAGAGAGAGAGAGAGAGAGAGAGAGAGATGGAGAAAGCGAGAGAGAGAGAGAGAGAAAGAGAGAAGGTGTAGCGAGGTGTGTCGCGCAGAGACGCAGCGAGCACGGAGAGCAACGCTGACCAAAACGCTGTCATGCAGCTATCGAAAGATGCAAAATGCAGGCGTCATCGACTAAAATTTTCTACGGCCTACTACCGACGTACACACACACACACACACACACACACACACACACACACACACATACATACATACACACACATACACATACTTATCGTTAGTAACAGTTACGAATACAGAAACACACATATACAGTGGGATGCGCATATCATGAGAACGTTCAAGCTGCGGTCCACAAACTACGCACTACAATCAGACTGACGTGTGTAGAGTTCATCTCGTGACTCTCATTTCAACGACACGTCGTCGTGTGCCGATGACCCTTACGTGACTGTGTCGAAGCGAGTATGAAAAATCGCGATCTCAGTTGCGGCTAAGTTTCGCGAGCTGGTCGCGAGAGTTTCGTCTCGATCGCGCAGACGGGATTTCCGCACGCGTCGTCGTCTCGGTGAATATTCATTTGTTTCCACGATTTTCCCATCGCGGTGATAACAACTGTGTGGCCTGCAGACGAGCTTCACGGGACTCGAGACGAGACAGACGGCACACTTTTCCCCGCTTTTCCCCCTGTGCTCCGCGAACGTGATCAGCACGAGTCGGTCTTGCGATCGAGAGACGTGCGCGCAGGTCGCCTCGGTCCTAAATTGCCTCGCTAATAAAGACCTCGCTTCTATAAAACGTGAGATATTCCGGCGCCACGCCGTAAAATACTCTTCTATTCCACTTTGTTTCGGATTACTTTTTTTATGAGCAAATAATCAAGGCCCCCCTTTTAATACGGCGCGCAAGCCTCTGAGATATACGTTCCTCTGCAAATTGAAGATTTCCGAGCGGTATATTTTCATTTACCTCCTCCTGCGCCCGTGCGTAGCCTCGAATATTTATTCCTCCCCTCGCGCCCGTCGGCGCCCAAGATTCGCTCGTAACCTCAACAATGAAACAACCCCCTTGCCCGCTTGCCTCATTGAATCGACATAGTCGAGCGGGCGGACTCGCCGGCGCGGCGCGCCCAAGTCGAAGATCCGCGAATGACCGGACGAGATGCGCGCGCGCGCGCGAAAGTGCAGGGGAAAAAGGAAAGAAAGGCGGGGAACAAAGAGAAAAAGACGAGAGACACGGGAGAGCTTCGAGTCTGGGTTTTAAGCGCTAAAAGGGTTGCCTTTTTAACTCCGTGTTATCTCGGCGGCTGTGTTTAACGGCTCCATAAAGCTCGGCATGAGCGTCTCCGGTTGTGATTAATCGCCGTGTACGAAAGCGGCTATCTCCTCTTCCCCTCTCTCCCTCTCACCCTCCTCTCGCGCCTTTATTAATGAATCCTCAAGGCTCGTCTGCCATTATGTAGCCGACTGCATATTTATGACGTTTCGAGTTACTTAAATCCCGGACACTCGCCCGCTGGGAGTCGCAAAATTGCTCGATTGATTAGCCGGTGACTAATCAAGAAGGAGAGAGGGAATAAAACGCAACGAGTCGAACGCCGAAACGTCTCTCTTGTGGTGCCGACTGTGACAACCGTTACGAATTCTCTTGCGAATTTCGAGGCAAGTAGAATCGCACATTTTTCTTATCGCGCTTATCACGTGTGTAATAAAAGTGAAAGTTCTCGCTCTTCGTCTCTTGCGCGCACGCGCGTTCAAATTAATCCGCCCCGTAGAAATTTATCAGAAGGGTTTCGCATCTTCTTCGTCGAAATCACGCTTGGCGTAAGGGAGAGAGAGAGAGAGAGAGAGAGAGAGAGAGAGAGAGAGAGAGAGAGAGAGAGAGAGAGAGAGAGAGAGAGAGAGAAAGACAGAGAGAAAGATTGACGCGCGATTGAAATAACGAATAAGTATCGATCGCGCGAAAATATTTGCGCCGCTTTCACACCGGCGCGTCAACGCGGCGACGAGACACTTTTGTTCCGCGTTTTACCGTACTCTCGATTGTTCGACACGTTAAGTTTTGTATAGAATTAAAAAAAATATAATAATCGCGCGATCACGCGGCTGCGGCTGCGTGTTTATTAACACATACACGGCGACGCATGTTGACGGCGGGATGTTCGCGTTTCGTCGAACAAATCTGTTTTTCACGGATATTAGATCGAACGACGCGTTTTTCCAAATTAAACGCGAAAGCCGCTTTCATATTAATGCCGCCCGTCGGGGAAATGACATCTCGTCGAAACCGGCAGCGCGTTTATAACAGATATTTATTTCATACACACACACATACATGCGACATCGCGAGGTGCGCGCGACCGACAGGAATTACGCGCGATGTGACGCGTGAAAAGTGCGCGGTTCTATTAACAGGCCCGTCGGTCGTTCGATCAGCCTGACGATCTTTCCCGACGTGTAAATCGCTTCTCCTCGGTTGCGGAGATATTCAGGCCCGCCGAATTCTCCTCGCGCTCGCCGGAGGCGGCGATCGTGCGGGAGAAACGCTCGTTCGTAAACAAAATCGCATATGCGGCCCGATTGTTCCACGCGACGCAGACACGCGTCGTTACGTGTCGCGCAGCACTGCGCGAATAATTTTGGCTCGCTCTCCGAAAGCGCTCGGCAAAAATCACCCGTGCCGTCGGCGCCGTAAGCTGCGATTTAATTATTATGGCTGATGAAACGGCCGATGTCGCGAATCCCCCGAACGGACAGACGGGTTATACAATTTAAATTATTTCGCCGAATTAATTAGTTGTTACATGCACCGCATGCCGGCCCGGTTCACGGTTAGTGGATAATACGGAATTTATAAGTCATCGTAATGAACATCGATGTCCACATCGATGCGCACCGCGTTTTGTGTGCGAGAACGGCAATTTCGGCGACGGGACAAACAACAATGGTGTGCCTAGCGTGTCAAAAAATTGGATTTGCAGCGCATTGATATTGTAATAAGGATATCGTGCGGCAAAATCGGACATTTCTCTCGTGTTTTTATCCTTTCTCTCTCTCTCTCTCTCTCTCTCTCTCTCTCTCTCTCTCTCTCTCTCTCTCTCTCTCTCTCTTCCCCCTGCTCTCCCTCCCTTTGTCCTCTTGTCTCGGCAGGAATTTATCGGCATGATTACCGAATGCTATCGAAATTCAGCCGCGGCGGATTTGAACACGCGCGAACACAAAGAGCGGCATTTCCAGCGTCGAGCCGGCCACGTATTTTGTTTTAATATCGA